AGAAAAGTGAAGAAAAAAAATACGCGTATAGAGAAAAAAAGAATGGGATGTTACACATTACAATTCCAAAGGTTGTGGATGGTAAGATGTTTTAATGGTTTTGAAAGAAGTCTCTTATGTTCATCAAGGCAGCATTTATTTGATCAAAAATAAATAGGCCTAAATGTTTTCTATTTTAAAATATTTTAAAAGGTAATTTATTCCTGTGATGGCAAAGCTGTATTTTCAGCATCGTTACGCCAGTCTTCAGGTTCACATGATCCTTCAGAAATCTTTCTAATATGCAGATTTGGTTCTCAAGTAACATTTCTTCTTGAACTGTTGTGCTGCCTAATATTTTTGTGGAAATCACAATTTTTGTTGTTGTTGTTGTTGTTCAGGATTCTTTGAATAGAAGGTTCAAAAGAACAGAATTTACTTGAAACAAAATTCTTTTGTAACATCATGTCTTTACTGACACTTTCGATCAATTTAATGCATCCTTGCTGAATAAAAAAGTAATTATATTTCTTAAAAAAAACTTATGTTTAAATTCCTTATGATATAAAAAGTTGAACTTGAATGTTGACTGAGCATCAAACAGAATTTCAAAAATAAGTACTCTGATTCAAATAATTTTCAAACACTTTTCATGTCATTGGTTGAGCCTGCCCCATCAGATTGTTCGTACAAAAATAGTATTCTTTCATCAGCTGCTGTCGCAATGAACTGTGAATAACATAAAAAATTCAAATGAAATCTTCCTTTTTTAGCCCCCCCTCACATTCTTACATCACCATCCTGACCTCAGATTGGTGCTAATGTATGCATACATTTGTCTTGTTCAGGGCAGAATTTAGGTGGCCAGTCTTGTCTCTAAATTAGTAATGATATGAAATCCATTGTGTCAATTAGAGGGGAAATGAAATTATCCAATTAATCAATAATGTTCAGTAAAACATGACACTTGCATAATTGCATGTATTATTGACTCAATAAGAGAGCACCAATATGAGATTAAAGAAAAAAGTGAATTTATGAACAATGCAAAACAACTATCTCTCTCTGTCCTAAGCTTAATATAGAATATATGTTCACAAGGAAATATGGACTGCAGAGAGACTACTAGGCCACCATGGCTCACACCAGGAGACAGTGTATTCTCAGGTGAGCATGACCTTATACGACACATGTGCAGCACTTCAGCCTCTCTACAGACACTGTATCGATCCTTCAAAAAGGAGCCAGGGAGATTTCACACATGCACTGCACTGTATCAGATCATTTCTAAGGGTGTCGGTCGGCCTGTCGGCTGGTGTCATGTCACTGAGAACATCTGACTTAAGCACAGATAGAAAGATGTTTAATGCCATTTTAAATTGTAACAATTTTATTCAATGGTGTCAATAGTCAGTGACCATGTTTGTGACTTGTGGCATGCTGGGAGAAACCAATTGTAAATATTTTCCTGCCAAGCATGCTGCTATGGTACGTTTCAGAGTGTGAGCTGCTGTTAACCCATAAACGTGTAGCAATTTGGCAAATGGCAATTTTGCTGCATTGGGTCTCTGAAAGTTAAAAGAGAGAGAAAACTGAAAAAGACAAGCAAAACAAATAATACAGAGAGGAGCGAGCAAAGAAATTTAGGAGCACAGGAGAGGAGAGAAACAGAGAAAAAAGAGAGAATAATAACATCTGAGAGTGAAAGAAAGCAGCGTAAGACGAGAGACAGCTTGAGAATATTCATGATGGATGATTTCTATGTGCAACTCGAGTGGCAGCTGTAACCTTTGTGTTTCAATAACACATCTCTCTATTGTGGCCCTTTATTACATCAAAAGAATGCAGCAGATCTGAAACAATGGAGAGTGACAGAACTACTGAATTATACTTCTTATACCAGACATCTCCTCTGTTGTTAAAATATACACAAAGATTATAGAGCACGAGAGAAAGACACTGAACTTGATGGCAGATCTCTTCACTCTCACAGTTTTGTGGAGTACCGTAAATTTGAGGTAGCTGCTTTAAAGTGAGATTAAAATGACAGAACAATCTGAAGTCTCACACGCAAGCACATGAGGATTACAGTCGACCCGACGCGCTGCTTAAAACATCTCACCCTCTTTCACGGCAGCTTAGGTCTGACGTGACTGTACTCTCCGGGCATTAAATCAGAGTATTTTGCACAGGAGGCAACATCAGCAAAAAGCATCAGGAAGACAGACTCAGATAGAAATAACTGAATTTAATGTCTTTAATGGCTTAAATAAAGGCCTTGAGTCACGTGTCAATTCTAAAAATGCATTTCATACACTGTAAAATTGTGTATGATAGACACATAGTATAGATAAAATGAACCCTAGAACAAAATTAACCCTAATGCAAATTATTTAGCATATTGATATTATTAATATTATAATTTTATTATAATTTAGTGAGGTTTACGCTTAAAACAAGAAAAACTATGGGGTAGGAAAATGTAATGTAATGAATTTTCTACCATGGAATTTTGCTTCTCAAGTAAATTAATCTTGTTTTAAATATGTTTAGTTAAAATATTTATACTGTGAAAATATTCAGATATTCTTTGGCCTAGCCCTTAAAATCCTTATCTAGAACTGGCAATACACACACACACACACACACACATACACACATATATAGTATATATCAAGCTTTTGGATTTTCTTTTCATCCTTATCTCTTGCAATAGCAAAACCTTTTCTCTCTGCATTCGAATGATCTATATTATATCTCTGTGGTTGGATAGCCTCTATACAAGTTCTCTGAAAGAAGAACCATTTGCAGTGCTCATTTTTGAAGGTTACTTAAATTGTCTTCATTCTCATTAGATTGTCAATTATCGCCTTCACAGCTCCTATACAATGTGAGCAAAGCCCTGGCAACCTCCAAAAGCCTTCATAGAATGTCTTTGCTTCTGGTTAAATATCATCCACCACCATGGTTAAAATCACTTTATGCAGCTTAAGCTCTGCAGCTCTCTTCTTTCATCTTTTTTTTTTTTTTTTGACAGATTGTTTGCTGGTGATGTGTTGACTAAGCCTAAATACTGCAGCACAAAAAAATATTTTGTATTTTTGTATTCTGTTTTGCGATCTGGTCACCCGATTATCAGCGAATTTAACAATATTCCATTAGTTATTCCACTGGACATGGAATCTCTTGTTTCTTTTCCCAAATCTTCACTCATGTCTCACCCATTTTCGCAGGGGATTATAAATGTTTCTTCCTGGTTCGCTTTTAAGTAGGCCTATTCGCATTGTTTACTGTGGTAAAGTAGAAAAACGCTGTAGGAAAGATAGCCTACCTTTTTACTTGCACGCCAAATTCTTTTTAACACAGTTTGTGCTTGTTATTATACTTGGTAAGGTGCGCCAAGTTTATTTGTAAACCGCGTTTCACACGCGCGGGTGATTTTTAGTTTCGCTTTCTCTGGCAGCGCAAAATAAAACATAGCTTAAATGTCTTGCCCTTGTAGAACATAAAATTCGCTCTTCATACCTTTTACAAGTAGAAAACTTGAAGATATTAGAAAAGAGATGGTCTCTTTCCTGCTCGTGTGTCCCAGATCCCTGATCCCTCTCAAAACGCAGAGCGGTGGGCTATATCACGCGTCTTTGTGTGGAAATATAAAACGAATGTTTCTTAAATATTTAACTTTATTATATTATTTAAGTGACAAATTATTTTTACTTATATTTTTTTTCATTGCTTTACAGGCTTTAGTGTTATGTTTCATTGACAGATTTGTTTTAAATAAACATGCATGTCTGTTACGAAATTGATGTTTGAGCCTTGTTTATTATTATTATTATTTTATTTCAAAATGTATTTAATTGAGGTGTATGTATAAAAACTGCCACCGTCACAGCCCTATAGGTGGGCATTATGCAAACGTGTTACCGCGTTACGTATGTAGGTCACGGAAGTGAGACTGGAATTCCCGACGACTCGTTTAGGTGGTTCAGAGTCGATTCTTTCTTTTGGGAGACAATAACTTTATTTATCGTGCACTTTCGACTTTACAACTTTGCAGACCGTTTACATTCACAGACAGCTATATTACACACTGCATGAAAGATAATGTTCGAAAAAGAAATAGCCTGAGCACTTTAAAAACGAATCACTAAAAACGAAAACCAACCAATAAAAAATACAAATACACAAGGATTAAACATGTACACGAATTGGTCTTGCAGAGTGAAGAAAAGACTTTTGTTGTTCAGTTTTTCCTTGAGTTGAAAGTGTCCAGACTGTCTTTGGCCCTATGTTTGGGGGGGGGGGGGGGGGACTCTAGTGACTGTCATTTTCTACATTCTTATTGTTCTTATTTATAGCCCAGAGTCAGACCTTAGTGGCAGAAGAGGTGTCTGGAGTTCCTAACTGCTGATTGCCAGTTTCCATTACACAACAATGAAGTGTTACAGAAGAGTCCCTGGGGTGAGCAGCATGACGCGATCGGGACATTGCAACGACCCAACATCGTTATTGTGAGTGGGACACAAAGAGACACGTCTCAAACTGGAGAGGAATGACTGTCATATAGCCTATAGGCATGACATCAAAACTTAATATGAGTGTGAACCCATTTCCCAAAATGGACACAAATGTGGATGACAGGGGGTCCATCCATATATCTCTCCCACTTGCGTCAGAGAGCAGATTTGTTGTTCTTTCTTCCTGCATCATTCACATTTATTACATCTCATATTGAGTTTTGATTTTTTTTCAAACAGCAGAATATTTCATTCAAATCAAAGACAAACAGAATTTAAGCCTGAACTAATTTAAAAGGGTCCTTTGGTCACTGGATGTCAGCGAACACATTCTTGTCTAAGACTTTCACAAACACTTGCAGTGAACATGTACATGAAGCAAAATATACAACATACATCCTCTCTATGTGGCTGTTTTGAATACCCAGAGACCGTTAACCCAAGACACCGGTCTGGCATCACGACGCACGTCAATCATGGTACGAATGAAACGTGTCTTACCTGCCATTGCAGCGCTGACGGCGACTGTTGTGATGAGGAAAGCCTCGGTGAGTAGCGAGGCCCACGGTCGGCTCAGTGATCGCATCCTTACGAACAGTACAACGGCCCGGGGGATCCGGGGTTTATCATTCCCCCGTCCCACAGTTTTGGTAAACCTGTGCCTGTAATTTCTGTGCAATGACACTCAAATATGTAGTGGGCAGGATCCAGGATGTATTTACGGTGCGCGGGATCATCCAGTGCTGCGCGTCCACCGCTGATGCTGATGCTGGTGCCCGCGTGCGCTGCGTGATGGTGAAATGGTGATGGGATCTCTCTCTGAGCGAGCGGGGAAAATACCCGAGCTTGAGCGCTCAGCCTACGCAGAACAATGTCGTCATCACGTCTGGATATTTTTCGCTTCCATCAAAAATAGTCATTAACAGGCGCATGTATTTAACATTGTGGGAGGATAACGCCAAAGGCGAGAGTTGACGTTCATTTGTGTTAAATAATAGGCGAAATATTAAAATGTAGCATTCTCAGGTTATATGTCAAGCAGCTGATACTTTTTAATATAAAATGTATTTACAAATGTGTGTATATAGCATACAGTTTTGGAAAGTTTGGAAACATTACTATTTTTAATGTTTTTGAAAAAAAGTATCCTATGCTCATTAAGCCTGCATTTATTTGATCAAAAATACATAAAAAGAACAGCAATGTTGTGAAATATTATTACAATTTAAAATAATGGTCTTCTATTTGATTATACTTTAAAATATAATTTATTTCTGTGATGCAAAGCTGCATTATCCTTCAGAAATCATCTATGCCAATTTTATAGGCTACTCGGTTTTATCATCAATGTTGGAAACCGTTGTTCTGCTTATTTTGTTGGATCCTGTGATACTTTTTCAGGATTTATTGATGAATAATAAAAAAACATTATTTAGCTGTCATAAACATTTCTTTCGTGAACGAATCGTTTTTTTTTTTTTAAGTGAATAGTTCTTCTCGTGACCTTTTTTTGTTCACTCGTTCTCCCTTTGAAGTTAATTGTTTTCCTGTCTTCAAATACTGACTACTACAACGCATGCAAATAGGATTAATTCGTGTACAGGCATTGAACCTGAGAATGAATCCTTTTAGTGAACAAATTCAAAAGATTCGAGTCCTTGTGGCGAATCAAATTTATCACTGTAATTAAGTTCATCCCTACGCGCTCAGCCCCGTGGTAACAAAACAAGCGCTTGCACTGCCGCCTGGTGGTGTGATGTATAGGCCTACATCAGGCCACATTTTCGTACGTTTTATTTATTCTTCTATAAATGTTGCTATATTCAATACTATATTCACTTTCAGCAAACAACAAACAAACTGTCAGTGATTATGTAATTATTGTTTATTTTCCAAAAGATAACAATGAAACAAAAAAACAACAAAAAATAAGGATTTGTGCAGGACACAAAAAGGGTTTAGATGCAGTATAGTACCACGTGCTGTAACTAATAAATAAAAAGATCCAATTGCATTCATTAAAATTTAAAGCAGTTGACATTTCATAGATAAAACTGTAGTTTAAAAACAGCAAGAAACAAAAAAATAGGAAGCTGTCAGACACTAGAAAACACATTTTGCACATCAATAATTTGCTTGTCATTTCAATTTGAAATACAATACTTAACATAACTTGCTGGTTCCCTAACAGTGGTGTTGTACTAATGTGAATATGAATTGGATGGTTCTCATTTACTGGATTCCCCTTTTTTAAAAGTGAGCTGTACAGAAATCATGATTTCTTATCTAACATGACACATATCTCCACTAGGACCCACAACCTTTACGCAGTATGCTCTGCATTATCTAAAACTAACTACTACAGTGCATGTGCGATTCAGAAGATACGGACATAAAATTACCAAAGGAAAAAAGCACCATAAGGAAAATGGCTTATATGGTCAGTTGTACTAGTTTGAACTGGTAAAGGAGAAAGAAGAAAAACAACAACAACAATGAAGCCACTTCTGTAAATACAAACAACAACTGATGGCAGTGTTTAAGAAAATTACTGTACCAGCTGCACCAATGTAAGCAACACTTAAACTAGAAGCAGCTTGTTTGGCGTTCCAGCAAGTAGCTGTTCACAAGGTAAGTGCACAAAACTCTGACTCACTTGTGTCATTTAAAAAAAAAAAAAAAAAACTCACTAATTAAGCATAAAACAGACCTAAAAAAAAAAATCAGTGTCTTTATAGTTTGAATTCTGGCAAGGCAGGTACTGTATCACAAGCAATAGGCATCAGATGTGACATACATTTAAATAAGGCACCATATACTATCGACATGAGGCATAATGTGGCTGGTTTCCACTGCATCAAAAGCATCATGCTTCTGTAGTCTGTTATTTTGCACCAGACACAGAAATGAAAGCTACCAAAATAGCAACTAATATTTCAAATCAAAGTGGATATCATATTTATGAACAGAAAGATGAAGACATTTTGAACTAAGATGCGTTTATATAACCGAGCCCAGCTCTGAGAGTGACGTTTTTTTAAGTGCAAAAAAGACAAAGACGTTAAAATAAACAATAAATGTCTATACAGTCAAGAGTAGCGAGACAAAAGTGTTTACAGACAAAAAAAAAGAAGCTCCTGTCACTCATTCAAAAGTCTTTTAAGAGCAGTGGGTGATACATTTACTTACTGTTTAAAGGAACAAACACAACAAATGAATAGAGTTATGAGATATTTCACTGGCGATCCATATGTGCACTTTCTCCCTTCCCAGCGTCCTCATCCGTTTCGGAGTCACTGCACTCCTCCTTTGCCGTATGATGCTCCTCCCCTTCTGCTTCATTAGTGGGCAACTGGAATCCGCTGTCATCGTGCTGTGATGAAGCGATGGTTTTTTCCATGTGGGAGTCTTGAGTGCTTACCGTAATGTGATTTTCCTGTTGTTCCGATGCCGACATGACTTCCACTTCCCTTATTGGTGAATCCAAAGGCTTCTGCCCTGTGCTTGAAGGTGTATCTCTGTTTGTGTCTGCTTGGTTTAGTCGTGCCCCTTCTTGGCAATTTGGGGCGGAATCTACCTCCTCAGCTGCAGTTTCCTCTTTTGAGGATGATGACTCTGCAGCTTTCTGTATCCTGAGCTCATGCTCCTCTTCCTGTACTGCGTTCTTGATTTCCTGTATGGCACAGTCTATGGCTGACTTGCTCGCTGTGTCCTGCAGTGACTTTTCTGTTGTGCTTTCTTCCTCTTTTAGTGTACTTCTGTTTGTTGGTGGTTTCTCCTCAACCGCATTTCTGTTCACATCCTCTTTGGTTCCGTTGGGCACTTGCTTCTCTGACTTTTGAGATAATGAGGCATTTGAACGTACCTCAGTCTCCTCCTCTGGAATATTCTCCACGGCGGGCACATCCAGGCACGACTCGTTGGGCAGCACTGAGGGAGTGCCTTCCAGCTGGATCATGGAGACCACCTGCTTCATTCTGCGCCTCTTCTGAGCCTCATGATCTCCTGCGCTCTCTCCATCCACCTCCTCTTGGCCTCCTCCATACTCCTCAGCCCAGTCGATAGGAGGGTTCTCCCCCAGCAGGAGAAGGTTAGGGTCGCTGTTGGTCAAAACGATACTGTCTCGGTACAGGTTGTGTCTCCTCTGGACGGCTGCTTCCTTCACAGCTGGAAACAGAGAAGAAATGTTGATAAGACCACACATGTTTGCATAAAGGTACTATGTGAAAGTTTGTGAGATCTTAGGTAGGAGGATATGAAATGGAAATTCAGCCCATCTATTTTCGAAACGGATTTTGTTGATCTTATTGTGAATGATTCATCTGTGCAAAATTTATTTTTATTAAAATGTCAGAATCGTTCGATGGTGACATACAGTATGCTGGACTTTTCCAGAAGGCCTCTAAATTATCACCATGATGCATGATCCATGATGTACATCATCTTCTACATGCCTTCTGCACTCTGATTGACAGTTCATTCTATTTTTATCAAGTAAAAGCTCTTTTAGAATAAATTCTCATGATACACGTGTCTTTTTGCTGTGAAATCTCTAAAAAATTTTAGGAATAAAACGTAACTTTATAATATAAAATATTTCATTGGTAATATTTCAAGATAAATGTTTACTTGACTAAAGTAACTTAGGATTACTTGATTATCCTTTTTTTATATGATTTGGGGAAATCATGTTAAAATGTAAACATCAAATATGATCCATCAGGGTTTAATGAGGAACGTTTATTGTATTGCAATGAAAACAACAGTGCTTTGCTCATAAAACTAAGTATTTAAAGCTGCAGTCCGCAGTTTTTCCTCTTTGTCACCATCTCTGTTCGAAATCTGCAATTGCAGTCATTCGCGGAATTATCAACTTTATGTGAGTTGTGCCTCGGCACGGCACAGCGCGGATGAATCCAATGTTTTGAGGAGAATGTGCGGCTGTCAATCACCGCGCCGGTGTGGAAACTGTCATTCGGAATCTCAGATTCTACTTTTTGGAAGTATGACCAACATAAGAATTTTCACCGGAAAATGTCATCTGAACAAGTAACATGCACTTTTGTTCTGACCAACTACGGGGAAAAAAGCGCTGATTAAATCTAACGATCAATTATCATTTCACGTCAAACCATGCAAATTATACTTTGTTCTCAAATTGTTAATGTTAACAACATCAGCATTGCGTGACTACATTGAATGTCCTTCCGATATTATCCTTGTTTCTGCATGGGGCCGGTTGCAGTCTCTTTTTTTCGGTAGCCACTCCGAAGTCTTTTGCCTTTTACAACGGGTGAATCTCTAGTTGTCACTGGTGATTGTCGTTTGAACCTTTCTGGATCCGCCATCAAATTGATAAGTTTCATTATAGCAAGTGCTGTGAGAAAAGGCTATAAATCTCCACCTCCAGCATCCTCACACGCAACATAGCCTACTAGCCGAGACTCCTCCTTTATGTGTACAGATGTGACGTAATGACGCAAAGACATGCTCGAATCTCCCGCGGAAATCCACCAGTATGGCTGGAATTAAAAATATTATTACAAGCTTACCGTTTAGAATCAAGCTAAGGCAAGCAGATAGTTTTGAACACTGGGTGGTTATGTACTTTTTAACCCAAAAAGGTTACGGAATGCAGCTTTAAATTAGCCTGACTTCGTCATACTCATATTCTAGTCAGAATGTGAGTCTGATACTGCTCCATAGGGCTTTGATTATGAGGCGTGTCTTAACCGAACCAGAGGAAAAAAAACTCTGCACTCAATTGAATAGACCTACAACCATTCAGAGCAACGCAGTAAGTGTTTTTTTTTTTATGAGGTACGCAAATTGTCAACAGAACTCAACTACACGCACGCTGGAAGTAGTAGTAAAATAATGAGTGTTGCTTCTTTTACTTGGTCCTCGAGTGCGACCAAAGGAGAAACCACAGGGTTTTCATTGCTTCCCATCTTCTTAGCGACCATCGGGGCCAGCTGATAAAATAAACGTTTGCCGAGTCCCGTACGAAGGACGGCAAACACATCTTTCCGATCGAAAAATGCCTTGATTGCAGTTCTCTGTTCGTCTTTTAAAATTAATGCGCTGTCGATTTCTTTTACAACAGATAAAATCTATACATCTCAATTCTCCAGCTGCAGTCAACTTTGAGGGAAACCAAGCGCTCTTTGATAACGTGATGATTACGTAACTGCAGATCATCTGTCCATCATCGTATAAAGCCCGCCCTGGCAATTTGATTGGCCCGACTAATTCTGAACCGATCATAATTACTCCTCAATGGATCGAGTCCAGACCAGCTTTAAATATGAAATATCATAAAACATCTTACCAAGATATAACAGGGAGTGACAACTAATATTTATGACTTTATGCAAGCAGTCTGCAATACTTTTCTCATTCATTTACATTATAAGCTATCAGAATTTCATCTTATCTACTGGCCATATAAATAACAACTGCACCAAATTGCATATTTTTGCTCAGTTTGGGTCTGACTAAAATTGAGGTGTTTTTTTTTGGAGTGTGAGCTCCTTATTCTCACTATATGCTACAATATACAATATGATACAAAATATAAAACACATATTTAAACTTTAAAAAAATATATTTTGTCTAATTCAATATTCAATAAACTGTCATTCCTCATTTCATATGTCAGGCTTTACAGGGTTAGTCCCCGTCCTTTCTTATAAATCGACTGCAAGCTCCCATTAAGATCTTCCTCCATCCAATCAAACAATGGATGGAACCCAGTCCCCGTTTACTTTTTCAATAATCTTACTCGTTTTGCTTGGATGTACGTCACAATACGGAATAAAACATTTGCTGCTACTTCCTTTACATCGCGACTTTAAACGTTTTAATATTTTGGGTTGTAAGGTCTCATTCTTTGAAAGAAGTCTTACCCATCATTATATCTTTCATCACCGTGTGCAGCACCACTTCCTCAAAGATGTTCTCCACCAGAATGAAACGAGAGAAATCCTCAAAAATGAGTTCCTGGAAACGAGGGAGTTCCTGCGAAAACAACATAACTTGTATTATTTATGAGTAGTTGCAGATTATAAGAAGAATTATTGCATTAACAGAGACAGGACTTACAGCAGAGCATGATGGGGAGAGCTGTTTCAGCATGTAAGGGATGAATATCTGCAGAAGAGCCTCTCTGAAGAACTTCTTACGAACTGTGCTACTGTCATAGTCAAATTTCTAGGGATCGCATTTAAAAATAAATAAATAATTGTACACATTTATTAATATCAAATGAGGCCCTGCTGGTTCAAAAAGATATGATGTGCAGATACGTAGATGGACTGTTTCTGTTTCACCTTGATGACACGATCCTGACAGCGCTGGATAGTTTTACAGAGATCCTCCCCTTCCTGGCCTTCCAAACTCTGGTGCAGGAGCTGCTCAAATGTGTACACCGCATCATCCATTTGCTGCATAAAACAGATGGATATATGCCTAAGGCTGGAATTCACTACACAACTTTTGCCCAGATTTCCCCCCCTAATTCCCCCTATATCATTTTCATGTGCCTCCTAGAAATTAGGCAATTGTTTTGGAGTCGTTCATTTTGTGTTTATAAACTCAGCAAATGCATGATTTCAAGTCCATGGATTCATGGAAATAAATGGACATAGACAAATGACTTTTCAAAAAGGACAACAGAGATTTCATAAGCGACTAAAGTCTGTTAATCCATATTGCCACAAGGGGGCCTATTTCACCACACAGAAAGGGTGGATCAACATTATTTTGATAATTCACAATTCAAGTTCAGTCTTGTTTTTCCACTCCCTGTGCTCTGAAATTATGTCTCTCTGTAGCAAAAATGTATTTTATATAAAGTGCTAATGAATGGTGTTCTAGTGCTCACAATCAGAAGTCATATTCTAGTCTTTAAAACTGTAGCTATGTAATTTAGTGACCAAAATGAGGTTTAACATCTCTACCACAACGGCACATACCTCCTCAGGGCATACAGTTTCATACACAACAAAACCACAAACCAAACTCACAAAGTGGCACATAAACACACACAAACCGCTTGTTTTGCTTACAAAAGCACAAAGCCCCCCTAACAGAGACATTTGTACACTTCTTCAAAACTGCTGAAGTGTAACAAACCATCTTGATTGCATAAATGCATGCAAATAACTCAGATGTGTGGTACTAGCAACAAAGTACAAATATGAACCACACATATGAGTTATTTGCATGTTTTACAGTACTTGCCAGTATTAGTGGTGGTTGTTTATAAAAGGAAATTCTTCTGAGTTTGCCGCTGTTCTTGGTTCAAAGATGACTAACCTCTCGCATTAGGATTTGGGCTCTCTGGACAAACACAGAGGGGCTGGAAACGTCAAAGCGCTGCTGCAGTCCCTCTAAACTCAGAGTCTCCATCTTCTCATAGCAGCTCTGCATCTTTACAGGATGGAAGGCTAGCATGGAGATCTTCTCCATGTGCTGGACACCAAAGACAAAAGAGTTTTAAGTGATGTTAAAAGTTTTTCATGACCCATGGAACCTATTGGCATTGATAGTACAACCTATGGAAGCTCGTTTCCGCCACTGAATAAAAGGTAATTGCGACTTTTTACCTCACAATTCGGACTTTTTTTTTTTTTTTTTGCAATTGCGAGTTTACATCTTGCAATTCTGACCTTTCTTTCATAGAAAGTCAGAATTGCAAGATATAAAGTCGTAATTGCGAGTTATAAAGTCAAAATCTTTTTTTCCCCCTCAGAATCGGACTTTATTACTTGCAATTGCGAGTTTAAATTTTAATTCTGAAAAAAGATGTCAGAATTGCAGGATATAAACTTACAACTGTGAGAGAAAAAAGCCAGAATTGTGAGATAAAAAGTCGCAATTATCTTTTAAATTGTTTTATTCCGTGGCGGAAACAAGATTCCATAACAGTCTCAGGAGGGGGACAAAAAAATTATACACAATCCAGTTAAACTTTTAATCCGTTACCTCGCCGAGTTTTTCCTTGTTGCCATCATTGAGGAGGTTCTTGCTCATGTCCACCAGCTCTCTGAAGAACAAGTCTCGCACCTCGAAGAACCCTCTGCTGGTGGGCTCCATCAGTGCTTCCAGGATTGAGCTGATGTACGGCTGGATGCTCACCTTCAGAAGCTTCTCTGCCTTGGGCAGCACAAGAGCTACAGACAAACAGAAAAAAAAAATCATTCAATTGCATAATGATTAAAGGTAAGGGATGCATTGATATTCAAAAATATGGCCAATACAATAAGCCGATAATTATGTTCATGTTATGGATGATATTATAAATACTATAACATTAAAACTACTAAAAAGAGAGAGAGAATAAACAACCAAAGTAAAAAACAATGTAGTGATCCTCTCTCCAAAAAAAAAAAAAAGGTACAAAAGCTGTACCCTTCCAAAAGGAACAGATTTGTAACTTATTTACCCCGAAATGTTGCATATTAGTATTAAATGTACATATTAGTAAAGTGTTCCTTTTTCTGAGAGGAAGAAGTAAAAAGGTTAACGTGACTTTAGGGATCACAACATTATAGTGTGTAGTTAAATATAGTATAAATATGATTTGAAAATGAAAAGTATGAAATAAGTAAACTCGGATAAACGTCTGGGAGTTTTATTTCCGAGTAAGTCACAAGTGTCATATTTGTGTCACTTGATAAAGATAAATAAAGGAATAAATCCCCAATTAAAGCTACCTCTTATTTTGCTGGTCACATGTTCTTTGGAAGTGATAATCTGGTCCATGTCCGTGCGGATGGTGGTTTCGAGTGGGGGGCGTCCTGCTTCACAGCTCTGCACTACTGCTTCATATTGCGCCTGAGCCTGGCTCTGAACCAGCCCGTACACTGCATCTGATATCTGATCACAAATCAGACAGAAGCCATTGTAATACATCCAGGTTCTTGTAGAATAGAAAGTCCAGGGGCCAGTTGCACAAACAGTCTCTATGTTAACCAAGGGGTAACCATCTTACTTTTCGGATTTAAATTAGACCAATCTACCTTTTATGTAACTGACTTTAAAAAGTTACAACCAGTCTTGAAGAAACAATTAGACGATTAACTTGTAAGACTAGTCTAAGCAGTTTCTGCAACCGGCCATATATGACCTTACAGTGCTTCTGGGCTACTGCCACAGAGGTACAGAAAAGACCCACATATAATTCTCTATAATAAAATAAAGAAGTTGCATCCCATGCAAAGTCTACCTATTAGCATTGATAACACAAGTAGAGGTAAATCCTAGTATCACACTTTTACTGTAAAATAACATTTATTTACTTGTTTATTAATGAAATATATATATATATATATATATATATATATATATATATATATATATATATATATATATATATATATATATATATATATATATATATATATATATATATATATATATATATATATATATATATATATATATATATATATATATATATATATATATAAAAGGTTATTATCTCAAACGAATGACGTACCAACATCCAATTCCTCTGTCTTTCATGCATCTTGCCCTTCAGTTTGGGGGTGATGAGGTCTCTCATCTCAGGGAGGAGGGTCTCCATGACTAAGTTGGCGAGGATCTGAGAATATGATTGGAAAACAACTGAATGGGTGTGAAAATGGAACACTTTAACATGCAAAACCAGCATAAAAGTAATTCCTGAAAATTGATAAAGTCAACAGTACGAGTAACAGATCCGGATCATATAGGCCTGGAGGCTACATTAACTCATTCCCATTATATTCTTGAGATAATGAGATAAATTTGTATTGTGCTTCAGACAAGCCAGGTTTCCTTGTAAACCTGGCTTGTCTGAAGCACAATACAAATTTACTTCTGCCAGATTGGTCTGGACACTGATCATATACCATTAAACCTTTTATTGTGACTTCCCCCAAAAACCTAGAGGACTTTTGTTACCACCTTACAAGAAAAATAAACCTGTGTAGGTGTAGGCTTAATCTCTATTATTCAGATAGAAGTATTGTGAACATGGCTAATCTGTTCCCTACAAATCTAAAGTCATAAGTTACTGGAGGTCACACTCCTGCGCCTTTCACATGATATATCTCTGTTTTTTTTTTCTTTCTTTTTCTTTTTTTTTTACTTGCTCAAAAGAGAAAACAATGCCGTTTAACAACTCAATAAAAAGAAAAAAATACTACCGTGATGCTGCCAGGAGGATCACATGCTAAACAATGACATGCTACATTTTAAGCTTTATACTTTCAATATTGTTTCTTTATCAGATTATATGTTAGAGCTGGCTAATTAGCCAAAGTATAAATAATTAAATTCATATTACAGAGTTCCAATTCGCAATGACAAAAGATCTCCCTGCCTAGCAAGGTCAGATTCCTTTAACATTGTTTATAATCTATTTCTTCACTCATTTGGTCAGTGTTGTCTGTATAAATGTTAATGCAGAATAATTTACTTTTTTCTTCTTTTAATATGAATATCTATTTTCAATATTTATCTATATCAATTTCAATATTTTATAAAGTAAAGCTGATAGCATAGATACTTATAAACCCCACCCTACCATCCTCTTTCTCTGAAGCTACACAAAACGTTTTCTACAGGGACACCATGATTTGAAATGGTTCACGTCCTGTGAATCAATTTAGCTCTGACCTTCATGCTATTCTATTATGGCCCAAACAATAACTGTGACGTTTTCCACCAACCTAAATGTCTTTTTTTCACTAAAAAAAAAAAAAAAAAAGAGAGATTTACAGTACTACTGTTCCCAACCTTGATGTAAGATCACTAGATAACTGGATTAATTGTTCTTTTTAGCACATTGTTTAAAACATGCTCTAAAACTGCTGGTACAACTTGTTAGAATGCATTTGTGCACTGCTGGATTCAGCTGTGTTTAAAATAAGCCAAAACATTTTTTTAACTTAAAAATAAATAAATTCAAATATCTCCAAAGAAAATAGGTTGAGAACTCCTGTTCTAGAACAAAAAGGATCTTGCAAGAGCTGCCTAGGATACATACAAGGACATGTGCGTTTTACCTGTGGAGGCGTCCCACACATCATGTCCCAGGTTCCATAATGACCATGGGCCTGCCGATAAAGTCGCACTGCGTCTGTGAATGCCGGGGTCTGAACTTTACATTCTTCAGGCAGTCCTGAGAAGAGAACATTATCATCATCATCAATATATCCAAGAAAATGACAAAAAACTTTTTTTAACAAATCAAGAACCAAACACCATAAACATTCATTTCTGAATAGAATGACATAATAATAACAACATGGTACAGTTCCTCATCATTTAGAGAAGTGAAAAGAAAGGGTGACACAATGAAAGAAGGGTCATATTTATATACACGTCTCACAATCAGATTTCCCCATCAAACCACAGACTTCAATCTGCTTTGGTCACCATGGTCAACAGGAAGCATTGCCTCATCAGTTACCATGGTAGTTCTCTAAACAATGCTATAGTTACCACAGTATACTGAAGAGTCATATGGGACTGATCCAGCTGAAGTATGAATCTGACTTGGATTTTGAGACAGTTTGGCAAGCTGCTGCTCAAATCTATAGCCTATGTCAGTAATGATGACACTCTAAAAGTCCACATATGGCAAAAGCCTCCTGTACATAGAGTATGTGTGCGCAAGTGCCTGAACCCTTTCAAAGACAGGAAGTTCAAGCAGGCTGGGTGTGGGGGGCTGGGGGAAAACAGACAGGAAGTACAGCACTCCACATCGGCACAGCTTGATGCCTTTGTGAGTACATGCACACATGGGCAAGCGTATTTATAAACAAGTTGGAAGAGCCGCAGATATTTTATGCAAAAACGAGAGAATAAGAGTTTTAGACGTAATAAAAAAATAATAATTGCACACATAGTCAAGAATATTTTTTAGTTAGTTGTTATGCAAAAATAAAGACAAGCATTACAAGCTGCTTTTTCAGGCAATATGTATATGTGTATTTACACGCATACATATACACATACACATATATAGTACAAAAATAAATGTAAAAACATGGGCAAGCATATTTATGAACATGTGGGGAGAACCTGAGAGGTGTTATGAAAAAACAAGTGAACAAGCGTTACGGGTCGCTTATTCTGGCGTGGTCACCACGAAAACAACTGATCTCAAGTCCAAAAACACCAGGTGATCAAAGTACAATGAGAGAAAAATGAGGATCTTTGGTGAAAAAAAAAAATTCTCTTTACACACCATTCCCTAATGACACCAATGAGCTGGTAAATACCTTACACAACAGGAGCAAGGTTCAGATAACACCAAGTTCAAACTTTGAGGTTTCACATTTTTATCCCTTTCAGTCATCTTGTAACTGTGTGTAAATACTCTAATTATTCTGAGTACTTCTTCATATTTGTGTAGTTTCGGTCAGGTTGTCACTAAGGCCTTTACGAAGACATTCAATAGGCTTTCAAAGAGCAACTTTGTGTCTGGACACTGGAGAGGTTTTAAACCACCTGGACTCAATTCATTAAAATGCATATAAACCTGTTCAGTTGACCAATAAAACCTTTCCAATACTGACACGTACCATATACAGTGGTGGAAATGGCCGAGATGAACTGGGGGTACCCTAGTTGGGGAACATATTTTTAAACCATAGATGCAGAAAATCCCATTCTTTAATGTATACAATTTATACATTTTACATTACACACTTTACATAATTAATGTATAAATTGTTTACATTAATGTAATTATATTACATAATTACACCCCCCCCCTTTCCTGCCCTGACCTGACCATATACATCATAAAGCTTAGTGGGATGTGAGTCACAGTCTAGCTACTTCATTTAGGCCACCTCATGACCATAAATAACACAATTTACAGCAAAGTAAGATTTGTGACCTGCCCAGAGGCTGCATTGCTCCTTTTTAGACATTAAAGCCTTCCTCGCCCAAGCCAAAAATCACACAGGGAAGATCAGAAGAACAAAAAGGACAGAATGGTTCAATTAATTGCCGTCGCATACCAGACTTTACTGGCTCGCCAGTCCAAACAGATTGCTCATGACAGCACAGGCTCACAGAAGTCAACAAGCCAGTATACTTGTAGCAACGTCTAGGGTTGGGTACAGAAACCGTACCTATATAACCGGCATGTACCCGGACCGAATCAGAACGCAGATTTCGGTGGCAGTTAAATGCCTGAGCTGTCGATTGAAATATTCAGTGCATCGCGCGATCAACTGCTTAATACAAACGTGCTTACACGCTTTGGCTGGCGCTGAGCCAGAGATGGCGATTCAGTGTTTTCAACCACATAATGTTTATTTTAGGTTTCAGGCATTTAAATGCACTTCAGCTCAATTTTCATTTTCCTTCAGTACTATGTCTGGGTTTGCTGTATATTCTTGGGTTTTCTCCGATCAATTTCTTTACCGGTCCAATCAGCGAACAGAGGGAGTGGCTGAGAACGATGATGTTGAGGTCAGCTAGTTTGAGTTGCAGACAAACGTCACGACCAAACGTTACCGAGTGGTTATGGCAGATCCAGAGTGACTCTGTTGAGGTTTAAAACTATTGAGTACCCGCCTTCAAGGAAGTTAACGCTTGTCAATGGAGAGTGGCCAGACTCTCTGTACAAATGAAATGTTTACGAGAGCCTGGTAGGACCAGGCTATTTAAATAGACATTTTAAAGACATGTGTGTTTAACAAACTATAAATGTATTTTTTTTTGCTAGTACTTATGTCCATGGAAGCATGCAATAATACGATCATTAAAGGTTTTTAAATGACAGAATACATTCACTTACACATATTTGAAAATCGGAATATCAGATAGGTAACAAGTTCGTGAATATTTTGAATAAAAAAGGAAATAAAAGCGATACATCTGTCATACAGCACAATTGTGGCTGCAGTGTGTCACGTGAGAAGCATGACGCGTTGCCATGGAAATAATAAGGTGATGTGTTCTAAAATAACTGTCACCTTGTGCAGGACATGGTGTCGTATTTTGCCAGAGAAGGCAATTTTGGACATATTTTTGCAAAAGAATTGCTGCAACTTGAAGCTGGGTTGTAGCATACCAAGAATACCGACTACTTTGCTGTTATTAGTACTGTACTTATTTAGTGTTAAATTATTGTAGTTGGGTTAGGTGGCTTAGGTTTTATTGTGAATTTGTTATATAAATTTGTTGAGTTTTGTATTTACTTATATTCATTTATTTAAGTATACTTTACATTTTTAATATATTTTAAAATGGATTTTTTATTACATTAGTTTTTTAAATAAAAAAAGCTATTCTTTAAAATGTCATTCACCATCGGTTTGTGGTACTCTTTTTTTTAAAGTATCGGTTCAGGCACTGGTACCGTTTTAAAAATATCGATTTGGCACCCATATAGTTTAAAAAACCTAAACGATACCCAACCTAACGTCTAGTAAAGTACGGTAGAAGGATAGATTGCTTTGACAGCCTTAGGATTAAGCAGACTAAATGATGCACTTCCAAAAACAAGCTAAGACTTGTCAGGATCCAGCCCTGATCTAACTCTGTCCATGCACGCTTGGGTTTACTCCTCTGGGCATTCATTCACAGAATGAAACTGTCCTGTTGGAGCACTGCATGTTCCTGGATCCTAGAGTCCTGCCACCTTTTGGGACACAGATTAGCTGTTACAAGCAACTTAATATATTGAGTTACACATTACATTTAGCTCTTAATAGAGAGCTAGTGAAGTGCAATTTGAACCAATACTGATCCAACACAATGCTTACCACGGCCAAGACATGTGCCTGGCTCCTGTTTTCTGTTTAGATGCTTTAATTCTCAGCAGAAGTTGTGCCAAATTAACTTGCATTACCCAACACAATATAAAACATCTGTTAGAGCCATCTAATGTCAAATAAATAGAGACATTAGTCTACTTAACTACGTTTTATTGACTTTAATTTATGTATAATATTTATAGTCAGGGCTTGACATTAACACCCGCCAAATGGTGGATTTCAGCAGTGGCGTGTAGCGCAGTCACTCCTACTGCCACTTTGGTTTAATTTGGAGGTTTAATTTTATATATAATAAAATGAAAATAATAAAAATATATACAAAAAATAAAAAAGTGCAATGTAGTGTTGTCAAAAATATAGATTTTTCAATACATACTGCATCTACGTTGAAATATCTGAAATGCTTCCAATACTCATGAAGAGATACACGATACCAGCTGGGCTGGGAGTTGACACAAAAACCCGCCTCACCTCACTCACTCGTTTCATTTTCTCCGGATATATATTGTTGCTGTTACAGGGCAGGGATTTTGTGCTTACGCAAAGTCTGTGAACATAAAGCCATCTCGCAGTACTAATTGTGTTATTTTTAGCTGCTTAAACATTCAAATACACACAAAATACTGTGATGTCAAAACGCTGATCTTGGCAGGTATTCGCATAAATACAGTCAGTTATGTTTTAGAACATCAACCGTATAATAGGTCTGTGCATCAGGTCTTAAAGTGGCAGCAGCCCTGCTGCCAAATTATGAGATAATATTAAAAATATCTATATGGCAGTTTTTCCCCATGGTATAGATGTCAAAATTGTGGCCAGTGAAAATGCTGAGTGGCTACTAAGTTTGGAAAACCACTAGCCACAGTGGCTGGTAAGCAAAAAAGTGAATGTCAAACCCTGTTTATAGTCATAAAAAAATTAAAAGAAACCTGTGTTTTGATTAAGAAACATTTTCGAATAACCCAAATGTTTTAAACAATATTTTAATTTAATGAACAATATATCAATTTATTAAAAAAAAACTTCTGATCCAAATGTCAGCAATGATAATGATTTAAGCTTTAACATTTTTGAGAAGGCTACCCAAAGCTTGCTTTGCTTCAAGACAGAAGTCACTGAAAGTAATAATAATTTGCAGTTCAGTGAGTTCATTTAATGAAGGATTCGTCAGACTGATTCAAACTTGATTCAAAGTAACTCATGAGTTTCTGAGTGTTTGTGAATTTAGAGTCATTTGAGTTATGTCCGTGAATCGGACAATACTGGCTGTGCTGTATGTTTTTAATTCACTAAAAAGAACTGGCTTATACAAGTCATTTTATTGTGAATCCGACCATTTAGAAAGATGATTCTTTCCATCATTTAAAGGTACTGTCTTTTT